GAAACGTTGCCTATATACTTCGAATCTTACGCGGGAGAAAACCCGAATAACCAAAGATCCACATACAAATACCCGCGAGAACCTCAGAAAACATATATATATATATAGTGTAGACAGAAGACATGACCCTTTCATTTCCTTATAGAACCTAGAACATTGTTTACCTACTGTCACTTTTAAATAATATTTTAGTTTCAATATAATTCAAGAGTTTTTGAAACCAGAAAGTAAGATTAAATTTCCTATGAAACAAAACAGCACTTCCATAAGGATTCCCACATCCTTGCTCAAAGAATCATAGGCTGAGCTATATTCTTAATGAAATTAGCTAGGAGCAAGCAAACTGCATAACATCAATTCTTTCAGACTTGCTTAATTAGATTATTCTCTTTCACAGACCTGGACTGGCACCTCAAAGCAACACACTTCATTAAAAAATGCAATACAAAATTAACAAATGAGCACAAAACATAATAAAATGCTATCAAAGCAATAATAAAAGCAGTTCCATATCAGAACAGACCCCCTACCAGACGGAATAAAAGGGAGGGGCTGGATGCTCTTCACAGCTCACAGAGAATGGGCGTATCAAGTAAGTACCAACGCCCTTTCTCCCATGAGCTGTTCAGAGCATCCAGTGATGGGACATACCAAAGCTTGGCACAGTCCAAAGGGAGGGACTCCATCTGGGTTGCAGAGACCTAACTGTCTCTGAAATAACTTGCTGCAAAACTCGCCTACCAAATGAAGCCTCAGCAAAAGCAAAGACGTCAATTTTAAAATTTATAATAAATGGAGATGGAGAAGCCCAGGTTGCAGCTCAGCAAATCTCCTCTATTGTAGCTTGGGTCGCCCATGCTGCTGTGGTGGCTGCACTCCTAGTGGAGTGAGTGGTAATGCCTTGGGGCACTGGAATCAAGTGAGAGTCATACAACTTAGCGATGGTGGCTCTTAGCCATCTTCCTATGGTAGAGGGTGAAACCACGAAGAGGGCTTCTGTCTTTCTGGAGGGCGCCGTGCGCTCTATGTATATGCGTAAGGCTCTTCTTACGTCTAAGCAGTGCCACTGCTGTTCGAGCCTGTGTGATGGACATGAGCAAAAATTTGCGAGCACCAGCTCTTGAGCTCTATGGAATGCCGAATTAACTTTTGGAATGAAGGAGGGATCTGGTCTGAGAACTACTCTATCCAAATGGAAAATGCAGAGATCTTTGAGCACCGATAATGCAGCTAGTTTGGAGATTCTTCGGGCAGATGTAATTGCTATCAGGAAAACTACTTTGTAGGTTAGAAATCGAAGCGTCGTGGTCCTTAGTGGCTCGAAGGGACCTGTAGTAAGGGCCAATAGTACCTTATTTAAGTCCCAAGTTGAGTATTGGGCCTCAAGTTCTTGGCACTGTCAGAAAACTGCAAATGCGAGGGTGATGAGATATGGAGATAAAATCATCCCACCACCTGTCTCCGCAGAGTATTGGGTGATAACCCTTTGTTTAGGCCCTCCTGTAAAAATTCTAATAACTGCGCTACTGATGTGGAAGTGGGGTCGATCTGAACCTTCTGACACCAACGGCAGAAGCTAGACCAGGTGGCCTCATAGATTCAGTTCGTCGAAGGACGTCGAGCCGACTGAATAGTGTGAATAACTTGAGTAGAAAGGTGTTCATCTCTCAGATGTCGCCGTTAAACTTCCATATGGCTAAGTTTAGCCATTGGGGGTCCGGGTGTAGCACTGGGCCTTGAGACAGAGATATGACCGATGATGGGATCCTCCACGGTGGTACCGTCAAGCGGTCCTTCAGGTCCGCGAACCATGCTTGCCTTGGCCAATAAGGAGCCACTAAGAGCAGGTCCGCTTTTTCTTCCAGCAACTTCTGAATCAATTTGGGAATCATGGGGAGGGGAGGAAAGGCGTATAGCAGTCTGGTGGGCCAGTGAATCTGAGTACGTTCACGTCTTCCGCCCCCTGCAATGGGTAACGAGAAATGAATCGGGGAAGCTGTGCATTGAGTGGGGAGGCAAACAGGTCGACTACCGGTTGGCCCAAGTCTAGATCTGGAGTTGTAGCTGCTGACCATGGTAATGCCTTTGAGAGCAATGGAAAGAGGCTATGAAATTAGGTGGCTGGAACACCTAGAGGCCGTTTCCTTTAAGGGGCAGGGGATCCTGGAATAAATAGTTCCCCAATGCCTTTAGCAAATGTGTCTCCTTGTTCTGTTTTGCTTTGTTATCTATTTATCTATATTTTAATAACTTAAAATTTTGTAGAATTTAAGTCAATCAAATCAATTTTTGAATCAAGTACTTGTAATATTAAATGTGGAGACCAGAACATCCCACTCCAGACCTGGCACCTATATGAGGGCACAGAGGTCTGTAACTGATAATTAGATCAGTTTAGCTGCACTCATTGCCTGCGGAATCCAGCAGTTCCTCTATCATCCAGTGGACTGGAGGCAGGGACTCCTCAGGTCCTCAAGAAAAGAAACCTTGTTGGAAACTTTCCTCACAGACAGTAACAGATACTCAGCAAATTTAACCACGCAGCCTTTAAAATGCTGGCTGCCTCATGGCAGAATGAAAACAAAAGCAGCTATCACCACCTGGCCTGCTGAAAGCAAAACCGCTCAGTGGGAAGGCGCAGGGGCTAATTCCCTGCCCTGAGGTGTTCTGCGGGGAAAGCCTCAGTAATAAAAAGGAAAAAAGGCTGCACTTTTCGGAGAGATAAGCCTCCTTGTTTAGAAGTTTAAGGCAGCATGTATCTGAAAGGAGAGGCTTTTAGCCTCAGGGCAGATTGGAAAGACAAGCTTCCCTATGTATGAGGCTTTAGCCTTGGGAGGCTGGAACGTAAAAACAAAACAAAACAAAACAAAATAACGAGCGAAATGACTTTTGGAGGTTCCTGGGGGGTTGGTGACAGAAACTATGGTATTACCTGACCTGAGAAATAAATCAGCTAAATAAGCTAAATCGCCAGTGTTCTGTTCCGACCAGGAAAACACAACCTGTCTGAAGAAAGGCTGAGCTAAAACTGGGGACGCTAAGGAGGAGTCTCGTGGAGGAGGAGTGTCCTCAAGTTTAAGCCCAGCCTTCCTAGAAGGGACTGAAGCACCTCCCATCACTGGATGCTCTGAACAGCTCATGGGAGAAACTTTGTTTTGCTGGACCTAAGTAAAAGCCACTTCTCCATAAAAAGATGTGGTGGAATGTAATATGAATTCCCAGAAGGGCAAAGAGGCAATGAAACATAGAAAGTTTGGTCAAGAGGAAGAGAGTTAAGAAGGATCCTCCACAGCTATTCCCAGAGTGTACCTATAATGATACAAACAGTTGCTTTAATTTGGCAAGGGTTCTGTCTACAGATGAGGAACAATAAAGGAAACTGCTTTTTAGTAACTCTCCCATGCCTTTCTTGGTTCCTGGACCTTGACAAAAGCCCTAATTAACACCTCAGCCTGATCACCAAATTATTCAGAATGCAAATACTGCAGAATTTAAGTATATATCTCCTCCTAGTAGTATACAATGTATATTTTATTATTGTGATTTGAAGCACAAATGTTAAATGGCTAAAGTTTATAACTCCAAAATGGTGGCAATAAGGCAATGCACTTTCCAGAACAACTTTCCCCAACGTGGTTCCCATTGATATTTTAATACTACAGTTCCCAGTATTTCTAGCCAGCACAAGCAATTGAGCACTGAGAAGGAATGCATTATTTATTTACTACCTTTCTTCAATTTTGTTCTTATCCATCAATGGTTGTTTGATCCACTGGTTGACTAGCCTTTGTCCTTGAGGTGTTCTGCATTTATTTAACAATCCAGCCAGTGAATGTGTTCCTTGGGCAAATTCTGAAGAATCCTGAGGAGAAAAAGAGATAAAGATGTATGTTGTGAAAGAAGGCACTTTTGTGTCATAAAAAAAACAAAAAGTCTTTACTTCAAATTAAAGGAAGAGAGGAAGCTGAGATTGCTAGTCTTCATGTTTTCAGAAATGGTGATCAAAGCATTCCTTCTTTGTTCCAAGATGGTACATGTGAAATCTGATTCTTTAATACGTACTGGCTACCAAATAATTCTCTTTGCAATCTCTGTGCAGTCTGCTATTTTAACTCTAATCTTTAATCATAACACTGGGCATCATTTTGCCCTTTTCTTCTTTTTCTTCTTCTACTTCTATCATTGTTTTCTTCAGTTCAAGGAATTCACGAACCTGCTTGTAAAAAATCAAGGGACAATGGTTCATTCTAGGAATTGTTCATCAATTAATAAAAAGAAGCTTCCTTTAAAAAACCCTGACCACTGGTCTCTACAAAATGTACAAAATTCACATTCTGATCTTAAAGCAAAGCAATCCATTTTCCATAGTTCTGCCTTAGCTGAATTTTGCTCTCTCCTGTTTTAAGTGGTTTATTATTCAGATTAGGGAGTATTAAAAACAACTGCATTTCTGGACATTTCATAAAAAAGGAGAGAATAAGAAATTAGTTTTAACATTCTACTATCTTGTATGTCTGAAAACCTCAAGTGTTTGAACTTATTTCAAGACAAAACTACAAACAAAATGTCTAATAGACTATTCTAAAGTGGATTTTCTAAGCTCAGAAAAAAAAATGCTGACCTTGTTTAAAACCTTTAGAAAATAACAGGAAGAATGGCAACAGAAGATAATGTTACATATTTTGTATTTCAATATTTTTTCTTTTAAGTACCGTAGACAAATTAAATTTGTCAACAATTTCATAAATTGTAGCCAACCCATTAAAGACATCACAAGAATAGATAAACAGAACAGAGATTAAATATAGCATTCCAGGAGAAAAAAAGACAAAGGGTAAAACTTTCCTTTCCATGCTTATTTGAAAATATATATATATATATATCTATTTTTTTTTAAAAAAAAATCAAAAGCCACCTTAATGGAAGTAAAAAAATAATCTATTTTTAAAATAAATAAAATCACGTAAAGCTTTCAAATAAACATTCAAAGGCTTCCCAGGGGTGCATATGCTAATGTCAATATGACTCTAAAACAGGGGAGTCAGACTGAAGGGCCACATCCGGCCCACAGAGGGCTTAGATCTAGCCTGCGGGACCACTCTGGAAACAGTGAGGGACTGGCCCATAGTGCCTCTGCCAACGAAAACAGAGCTTGGGAGGACTGCACATGGCCCTCCCAGGCTCCCTTTTCGGCCATAATAGCCTCCTGCAGCCCTCTGCCAGTGAAAAGGGAGCCTGGGGAGGCCGTTGTGGCTGAAAACGGAGCCCAGGCAGATTGCACATTCCCTGAGCTCAATTTTTGCTAGCAGAGGGCTACAGGACGCTGTCACAGCCAAGAATGGAGCCTCAATGATTGCCCGCCCTGCCCATGCCCATCCCGGTCATGTCCCTATGAGGTCAAACACAACTCTGATGCAGCCCTCAATGAAATAGAGTTTGACACTCCTGCTCTAAAATATATTTGATAATTTCATGATTGACTTCTATAATTAGCCTCTGCCTAACAAAGGTAAGTTCAGATAGTTCTCAACTTATGAACGGCCACTTTGTGACCATTTGAAGTTACAACAGACCTTCAAAAAACTATAACTTGTCTCAAAGTTACAGTTGGCACAGCACCCCTATAGTGATGTAAACAAAATTCAGGAACTTGGTAATTCACCAAGCCTTACAATCAACTTCAGGGACACTGCAGTAGCCGCCTTTCTATCTCCCCCCATCACATCTCACCTTGCTGATCCCCTTAAGCCTTGGAGAATTTTCAGAATTCTGACTATCAGAGTACAATGTCAACTCAGGTGTCTGACTTGATACAGATAGAGGCTCTCAATATAAGCTTATTGTGTTTTTCTGTATAATCTAGAAATCGCTGGATGGCTGAAGCTAAAGTAAGCCTCATCTATAATCAGAAATAAGACTTTGTTAACCAAATTTCGATTCCAAGGAAGTGAAAGGATATTTCTTCCAAACAGCACAATGGGAAAAATTTAACAAATGATGACAACTTCTCCCATGTAGTAAATAATATGAGAAAAACACACAGCAGGGTTGCCGTTGCTCTCCATATCATTAATGTTGGAAAGAAGATCAATGCTATAAGTGGTTCTTTCTAAAGTAAAGAGGAGCATAAAGCCATTTGGCTCAGAGAACAAGCTACATATAAAAATCAAGCTAATTTTTATAAATCTTGAATGGAAAACTACCTAAGAACTCTAAGCAAATTACTATGCTCTTTTAATGTTCTTTTAATGACTGTGTCAATAGATACCTCATAGATTTCTCAATGTAGTGATAGAAATCAGATATAAGGGCAAGTTATACATCTTACCTGAAAAAGGTTAAGGGCTCTGACAGCAGCGTGATCCAGGGTCATATATTGATTAAGGTCAAAAGTAGTAAGTTCAAACTGTCCAAAGTTAGACTCATCATTTAACAGCTCTAAGTATTTAATCACTGCAGATAGAGAAGAGATGGCAACCTGGAGAATAAAAGTTCAAAAGAAGTGTAATCACATATGTATTCAGCCTGACAATTGGTTACAGGGGCATTGGTGGGACTAAATTGGAAGCAATGTGGACAATATAGAGTTTGTTCTTGAACAGCAGTTTTTCAAAATTAAATTATTGCTCAAAGACATAAGTAGTTGCAAATGTTTCACTAGAGGTTTTTGAAAAGGTTAGGGGAAATAACAGAAGGAGAATCAGATAAATATCATACAACCATTATCAAATATTATTCTATGAAGAGAGAAGTACTTTCTATAAAGAGGAAAGAAGTTTCCATGGCATTCAACAATAATTGCTTTTCTATTTTACCTATAAAATATAGATGAATTTTTTCTAGGGCAGCTTTCCATAATCCCTAATTTGCTGTGGTATAATCGCCCTCATTGCCAGACAGTATGGACAGTTTCTACTAGCTCAAAATGTTGGGAGCCATGCACCAGCACAACTGAAGCATATCTCATTGGGGAAGGTTGATGTTAAAAACCACATGAATATCATTCTATGTGAAACTGTGTGGCTGCTTTGCCATTACTACCTCTATTTAGAAACTTCTAATAAATCTTATAGCAATAAATATTAGAGGTGTGTCATTTTAAAACAATAAGAACTTGCCTGAAGGTATTTCTCTGACATGCCTACACAGAATTCAACTTTATATACTCCCTCTCCAAGAAAATGATTTCTTCAGCATCATCAGGTTATGCCAGTTCCTTCTCAAGCCCTTATGTTAAAATGGCTCCTAGTGCAGTTAGCTATTAACATCAGCCAAAAAGAGCTCCTACAATCATTCAAATAGCAAGCTGTAAAATTTTGGAAAGGTTTTGGGAAAAGCCTACAATATTTTATTAGTTCAGAACTTTTCCTTTGGATTGATGGTTATGAATGCTGTTTAAGGAGCAAACTTCATAATGTTTGTGCCTAGAGAGAAAGACAGGCATATTTGAGCATTTATTAATTCACCCAAAAGAGGCATTCTTCCCTTCACTTGTAAACTACAATTCCAAAATAAGCATGCACGTTTATCTATGAAGTGCACTGCTTGTTTATGAATCATAACCTTATAGAAATTCAACCAACGGCACACTGTTCAATTTACAAGAGTTTCCATTATTCATTCCATTCATTGAAATGTAACATGCATATATTATCAATGCAATCCAAGAGAAAAAGAAATACATGTAGTCAGGTGTCCTTTGTGCTTAGCTTGTTTTCTTGCAGACGTTTCATCATCCAAACTAGGTAACATCATCAGTGATAAAAGGAAGTCAGGTTTGCTCTTAGGTTATACTCCAGTGGCTTGTCCTGTCAGAGTTGGTGAGGGTGGTTTTGGAGCTTCTTCCATTGCAAGGTTTACTGGCAGTTCCTTGATTACGATATTGTTTACGATCAACAATTGTTGATCTGATGTAAATCTTGGAATTAATCTATGCTCATCTGGGTGCTGATTACTAGTACAGGGGAGGGAGGTGCTTTGGTCTTTTTGTTCCCTTTTTGACTTATCTTTTTTGCACAGTGGGTAGGTAGATAGTGTTTATGTCTATGTGTCTATTGAAGGCTAATTTTCCAGTGTGCCAAGCTTCTAGAAATTCCCTAGCATTTTTGGACGTGGCTTGGTCTGGAAAGATCACAAAATCCCAATTGAAACCATAGTTAAACTTGTCTGTATGTTTTGAAATTAAAGTTTTCATCATGTCTCCTGACTGCTAGTTGGTGTTCATGGATGTGTTTTGCCAGTCTTCTGCCTGCTTGTCCTTCATAGTGGCTGTTGCAATCATTATGATGTATGTTGTAGATGACTCCTGTTTTTTTCTCTGGACTCATCTACAACATACAGTGTTGTCTGTTTCACCAGAACCAACTGCTGTTGCTAAATGAGGACTACTTGTACTCAAGTTAGGAATTCATTTGGACAAATGAGGAGAAAGAGAGACTAAGTCACTGAGAGACCCAAATAGGAATGACTCGTAGAGTTATGCTTAGAAAAACGTTTGTTTTGAAAACATGATTTACACATGGCAAAAATATGAATATGAATCTAAAAGTGTGATTAATTGTATGGTTTATGATTGATGAGATTGTGGGAATTTCTGAAGGATGAAAAAGTTACAGTGTTACTGAAGCCAGCTGTTATCTGTTTAAAACTGACACACACTTCTTTGATTTATGGCATACGTCCATACCAACTCACTCACCTGCTTATCCATTTCAGGTAACGCTGCACTAGACACACAGTCTTTCTTTCCTGATTGCAGCAAACGGTTGAGATCTTGAACAGCATCCTTTGTTGAAAATTCAGTCTTTTTCCTGTCTGTGATCAGGATTCCTCCCCTTTGAACCACCTTTACAAATAAAATTAGGAATAATTTTATTTCAGATTATAGGTTTAAAACACTTTTAATTGTATTCAACAAAATAAGCAGAGAATATGATAGCACCTTACAAACTTGCCAACTTTATTGAGGCACAGGCTTTTGTGAGAAGGAGCTCACTTCATCAGATACAAAGAATGGGTTCGGTATTATAAAACCTTAAAACTAGACTTATAATGGAGGGAAGGGAGAAAAATAAGGTGAGAAGAAAATGGGTTTATAAAAACAGAGAGTGAAAAAAGCTCTCAAAGAGGAAGATGGAGGCCTATTCTTATTGATTAGCAAATGTAGTTAGCAAATGTAGTCACTGCCCTTATTCAAGATTTCTGTAATAGATTAGACTTTTCTCATATACTTTAATTCTATTGTATTGACAAAATTTCACTTGTTATCACCATTGCTGAGATCTGTGTGACTGGTGATGGATTGAAAGAATGTAAATGTCTCATTTACAACTGATAATGTAACAACCTTCTCTTTTTTCAGTTTCTGCTATCACAGAAACAATGAGTTGTTTTTCCTACTCTCCATTTTTTCCTTTTTACTCTTTAAAGTCTCTTTAAACCCATTTAAAGTCCTATAATAGCAAATCTAGGTAAGTTCCAGCTTACAAACATATGCACCAATAAAATTGCTTGTCCTGAAGGTGCTACCAGACTATTTTGTTGACATAGATTGATCCAGCTCCTTCCCCATCTATACTATAAAATTCAGTATTTTCTTAAATGAAGTTTTATTACTTTTATTTTAAGAATTTTCACTGTCATTTATTCAAAGTGTTCTGGACAAAATCGAGTTTATGGCTAAGAGTCAACACCAATTTCATGACACATAATCAATCAATCACTATCATATATAATCATGCAGTCACCTAATGAGACTACCAAAGAACTACAAATCACATTTTAACACTGAAGGAATAAAAAAGGAACAGCTCACATTTCAGTCCCACACATATAATCAATTACTATTTCAATATGATACACTCAAAATTTGGTGCAGATCAAAGTTGTATGGTGAGACCTAATGAGAAGCTACATACTTGTCCATCTATACATTAGTTCAAGCTGAATAAGATTGTATGTTGAAATATTATTAGCAATATAACTGAAGATCCAAGTTTAACAGTGAAGCTACACTACATGCTGAAAGAATAATTGATATTATTTCAGTGAATTGATGATGTCTCCATTAATAAATTGTGTTTGACACACTATACTGTATTTATCAGAAGAGCATCAGATTGGAAAGGCTGATGCGCAGAATGCAGAAAATAGTAAATCACACTAGAAGCCCATTTTCAAAGTGTGCCAAGAATTACTTTCACACCTAGCTGATCCACAATGGGAAAGAAGAACTTCTAAGGTACGAAGAGAGATGCAAACAGCATTGGTAAGGACTAGAGCTCTTTGATCACTCAATAAATTTCATGAGTGGCATTAAAGCATTACATCATTTTCACACCAATAAAAAGCCATGGCAATGCACCACATACAAAGAGTCCTTGCGTAACTACAAGTAGTCCTCACTTAGTAAGTTTTCATGCAGCAACTGTTCAAAATTCAAATGGTACTGAGCAAATGAATATACAATTTGTACTCAAAAGGTATGGACATTGTAAAGCTCCTGCAGACATGGAATGAAAAATCAGGCAGTTAGCAGTCTGCCCACCATTACAGCTGAATACAGCAGCACTGCAGCTGTCTCCAGCCACCTATCTCCCTCCTCATCTCAACTACTCACCTGGCCCACCAGTACGGGCAAAGTACTGTGGCTCTGGGCTTCTCCCCACCACACCTGGGAGGCCTCAACTAGTACAGGACCCATCAGTATGCGTAAATTGCTCTACTTCCCTTTGTGGGTTTTTTTTTTTTGCAGCTGCTGACAAATGGATCTGTCTGTCACCCAACCTATGTGAGGTACAGCCTCCTAGAGACCTCCTCACACATTCTGCAAACAGGCCCCATTCTCATGGAAGGTTCCTTTTCCAAATGACACAATTTGAAGATGGAGCCTTCTGAAAGATAGCGAGAATGTCCCAGGAGGCTTTTTCTAGCCTTCCTTGATTCCTTCTAGAAATCATATTTGTCAGTTTTCTAGCCTTTTTAGTCCAGAAGCCTTCCTAGTGACTCTGAAGATGATACCTGCTTGCAGAATGGTGAAAATGACACCCGTTTGCAGGCCTCTGTGGGCAGCCCATGCCTTGCATGCATTGGGCATGGGTGTCAGTTGCTGCAGACAAATAGGGGAGCAAGGGGAGCAATTTCTTTTTTCCCATTTTTTTTATATTATATTATAACCTATCAAAATTTCAATTTCAATTGAACCTTTCCTGGGTACATGTTATTTGAGAAAATAATCAAAATATTTACAGCAATAGTCATTACATTGATATTAATTCTATAGTGATAATAATGTTTGTTTATCCATTTCAACATATCTCTCTTATAACATTGTTTCTTTTCTTACATTTCCATGTTTTCAACTTCTGTTTCTATTAGCCAACCGTTGATAAAATAAGTCCCATGTCAAAAAATATTCAGTTTCATCCTTTTCCTTAATTGTTAATGTTAATCTATTCACCTCTGCACATTCTCGTATTTTTTAAATTACATTTACATCTGTCGGAATTTCTTCACTTTTCCACTGCTGTGCAAACACAATTCTAGCTGTAGTTAATATGTGTAAGATCAAACATATTTTCCCTCTATCATATTGTTCCAGTAAGATACCCAGAAAAAATATTTCAGGTTTCAGATCTATGAATTGCTTTCTCATTTTTTCCAACCATGTATTTTTGTCCAATTTTTTTTGCCTTTGGGCATGTCCACCACATATAATACGAACCAGGTGTCTGATTACATTTCCAACACTTAGTGGACATGTCCTTAAACATCTTTGCCAATCTTGTTGGTGAAAAGTTCTATCTATAAAACATTTTATACGAATTTTCTTTATATGCAGTTGACATAGTTAATTTAAACATTCCTATCCCAGAGTTTTTGCCATTTATCCAATTCTATTATATATCCAAAGTTCTTAGCCCATGCTATCATTGTTTCTTTTACTTGCTCACTTTCCATTTTAATACTTAATAAATAGTTGTACAGTTTATTAGTTTTTCATCTGTCCCTATTAATATCTGGTCTAATTCTTTTGGTTCTTTATAAAAACCCTACATTTTGGCATCTTTCTCATATCGAGATTGCATCTGCACTTGTGGCCATCTTACATCAATCTCTGGATTACTCAGTTCTTAAGTTCCCCCTTTTTGTTCTAATATAGTGTCTTTGGAAATGACTGTATATTTTTTTCCTATAACAAAGAAAGGCACGCTAGCCCAACTGGAGATCATGTCCCTCTAAAGTTAATAGCCTTTTATACCTTAAATTAATCCATTTTTTCACCCCAGTAACCCCCCCCCCTTTTTGGAATCTTGCAACAATTTCAAGCTTATTCTTGTTTTTTTGCCTTGCCAGATGTATCTTAATATTATTTTATATAATTCTTCAAAATATTTTTCCAGTTTTATTGGAATTGCTTGAAATATTATTCTCGGTAAAATATTTGTTTTTATAGTTACTATTCTTCCTATCAACGACAGTTGCAAGTTTTTCCATTTCTCCAAATCTGATTTAATTTGTTGCATCAGCTTACAGTAGTTATCCTCTTTAACAGTTGCACATCTTGCTGCTAATTGGATTCAAAATACTTTATTTTCCTAGCTACCTGGACTTCAGTTCTTTTCATTAACTCTTTTTTCTATATGTCTGTAAGATTTTTAACAAGTATTTTAGTTTTTTCTTTCTTTATTTTCAATCCTGCAACTTCACCATATTCTTCCATGGAGCATGCTCTCCTTAATGACGTATGTGATCATTTAATGACCGCAACTGAGAGAGCTGGGATTGCAGTTATTCAATTAAGCAGTCATATGATGTCTCAACAACCATTTCATTCAATGACCAAAGATTTTGGACCAAATTATGGTCCTAAATTGAGGACTTACCTATACCACAATTGGAATAGGTAATTCCATCACTAATCAAAAAAATCATGTGGCTGAAGTGGATTTATGTCACTTCTGCCAGTCATTAAGCAAAACATCTGTGGTCACTAAACAAGGCAGTGCTGGTTTTTCCATTGATTCTGTGAGGGTGGGAAGTTAAAGACTCTTTTCAAAAGTGTCTGTAGTCATGCAAACATGACTCCTTCCCTCAGGCATTCATTCTTTCCCTAGAACTGTACTTACGGGCATTCAAGCTGGTGGCCCTGCTGCCTGATTAACTGAGCCACACTCAGTATTTTCAAGAACATGCTAACATCCAGAGGCAGCTTCACCTCACCCACTCTTTTGAGCTTACAAAAGCAAATGCTATGACAGAGTAGAGAAGGGACAGGAAAGGTGATAAGCAAAAGCCTCTACGGGAAAGCATAGATAATGTCTAAGGTAAGTAGCTATTATAATCAGACAAGGCAATTATGACTCAACTGCCAGGACTACAAATCACAATGAGTGGCATATCCAAGTGAGAGTCCTGCCTGGAGCTTGAAGCTTCGTCTGGAACTCAGCAGCAACTTGAAAAAAGAGCAACCTCCCTGAAATGCTACAAGTAGTGTAGGAATGTTTGGAAAAGACAAAGGTTGTATATTTCTTTAGGGACTTTGAGACTTTTGTTTGAATGGTGTCTTAAAAGAGTATAAAGGACTAAGCATTAAAAACAAAGTTATGTAGGAACATCACCCTGCAAAGTCTGGATGGAGTTCACCGAGAGCAATAGCCTGTTGTTGGGGAAAGTGTGTACTGTAATAAAGCATTGTGTATAAATTTACCACACTGTGTTGTGACCAGTCTTTGGAGAGCAAACAACTCTCAAATTCTGCTGACTAGAAGAGGGCTGTGATATGCATACATGGCAAACGTGTGGCCATGGGACATTGCAATGTTTGTAAATGCCCACCAGTTGCAAAGGGCCTGAATTTCAATCACATTATTGTGCGGATGCTGTGATAGTCATTAAGTGGAAGGACAGGTCATAAATTTGAACAATTGCTAAACAGGGTAATTGCTAAATAAGGCCTATTTGTTCAAGCTATCATGCCAAATACTTTTTCCTGGAGGATTTTTCTTCCAAGGAAAAGGAGCACTAGTAAAAGGATCAGATTCAAGAGGTGTCTATATATTTAGTATTCCCACTGGAAAAAGATGCCAAACCATGATAAGATACTACAGTGAATACAAATCTAATCTTAATGAACAGAATATGTTTATCTTCCTAATTGAATCTTCACAAAATAGCTCTGGAGGAAAAAAGCCCAGAAACATATGCCTACTTAGATGATTGGCAGATCCAGGGTCACTTCTGTAAACTAATATATTATCAACAGTTGTACAATTTGGAGATAGCCTTAAGAGTCAGTATTAATTTAAATATTTGCCTTTTCAATTAACTGTTATTACCTTAGTTCCGTTGTTCAGCTTTTATATATTCATTGAACCAGATGCCTTCAATTCTTCTTTGATATCTAAAAATGTGCTTATGTTGTCTTTTTGAGTTTTATGACTAGGATTCATTTTGCATTTTTGACTCCTGGTGCTGAAATACTCCTGTCTGTTTGGAAGGCCTTCAAAGTGGTTAAGTCTTAACAGCTTCTGTTGTGTGTTTTTCCCCCAGCCTTAGGCATGTAAATAACACACCCAATAAGCAGAAGAGTAGCCAATGGCTCCATTATACTGTGCTACACTACAGATTCCTTTTTTGACTTCACGTTGTGTAAACTCTGAAAAGTGCACTTTATTCCATAAAGCACAGGTAACTAAGCCATAGCTTAACATTATAAATGATTAGTCACCAATTGAAGCTTTAATATACCCATTAGTTAACCTCTCGAGTGTGCAGATGCAAGCTTACACAAAATAATTACTGATGTTTATTAAGGGAGCACCAAGGACTCCACAACTGAATGAGCTGCTCTGTTTTATGCCCATTTTAAGTTCATTTCCTAACCCTAACCCTAATCCTAGAGGGTTTTTCAGTTTTAAGTTCATGTAAACAATGTCTGTAGTTTCAGAATTTCCTTGGCTTACCTGCCTCAGTTTCTCCATATCTCCAGCAGTCTCCCCAACTGGCAGCAAACATTCCTTTGGCCCCATTTGTATCAACAGTGCTTCAAGGTTGGAAAACTGATCATTATCTGCAAATTCAGATACTTCTAGTTTTCTTGACAGTGAATCCACATATCCTACTCCAACAACTTTCTGTCCATCAACTGAGGACAGCTTGATGGCTACAACACCAGCTGAAGAGCACATATCATGGTTACTAAAAAGAGCATCCTCAAATTGAGCAAGGTTACCTGGAGAACCCTATTTGAGGAAAGAATAACAAAGGAATATTAATTTCCATACAAATATAGCAATTAAACTATCAAACAATCAGGGTGGATAAAAATCATTTTAAAAAAATATTAAAAACTGGCTTTTTTAATTTAAATTGGATTCTTTTGATTTTTATCAAATTTATTTTAATAAAATGCTTTTGGAGTAAAAATCTATCTAAAGATTGTTTTCTATTTAAGATGCATTAATAATTTAGTTTATTCAGCATGAAATGAAGCTTAGTTATATAGCATGATGCTGTACATTCTGCAATATTTACATTTTTGGTAAACATTCAATGAATCCAAGCTCTGCAAGCTGAGATAACATGTGCTGCATTGACGCATTCACACAATTTCACAGTAACCATGAGATAAATCATAAAACAAAGTTCAGGAATATTCCCTTATCCCATTGTTTTGCAAATCTATGTACACTACAAACTGTATGATTGTTTAAAGAGAAATGCATTTGTACCGTCAGGCTCTAAGTGTGAGAAGGAAGGACAAGCAATAAAAATGAAAGTGAAACCTTCTAAGCAGCTTATAAATATAATATTAAAGAGCACCTATCATTTCAGATCCATCATGACAGCACCTGTTAACAGGCATCCACTCACCTGCTGCCTGCCACATCCCTCACCTTGTATTACTACTGCCGCATCACCAGCTGTCCCATTAAAGTGAATGAGACTGTTGGTAAGTCAACAGTGGGTTAGAGGAGAAGCCACTGCGGAACAGAGATGACAGTTGCTCTTTAAAATTATGATTTAAATGAGTTGATTCAAATCAAGCCTTTTTATTAATGATTTTAATCATGATTTAAATTGACTTTATTTAAATGTGCTTGATTTAAATGAACTTGATTTAAATGGACTTGGTTTAAATCAAATCCACCCTGCAAAAGATTTGGATTTTTCTATACTAGAAACTAGACTAGACTAGACAAAATATATTTCAAGTCAATAACTTTAATTAGTGTATTTTGTTCATGATCACACAGCTTAAATGTCCTCTTCACTCACTCATTTCTCTTTACCCCACAGAATGTCCCTGTCTTTAGACCCACAAATAAAGTAGTTTGGGAAAATAAGCTAAACTGTATCCTATTCAGAGATATGAGACAATTACCTAAATGTTCCTACTTCATGATTCCTGAAAGATAATCTCTTTTACCTATCTATTCAGCCTGTTATTTCTCATCAATTTCCATACATGACATCTTGCTGTAATGTTTGTATATAACTTTGTGACTTAAGAAGGGAATCAAAAAAGTAAATATGGTTCCACTCAGTTTTATACAGATACTAGCTCGATACCTATGCTTCGCTACGAAACTATGTGGTCGGACTTAGTTTTGGGGGAGGAAAAGAAAATTCTGCCTCTGCCTACCAGCATCCATCAATATTCATCTGGCTAGCATCCTGTCAGTGTGTGAGAGAGTTGAGGGCTGTTTGGAAACTGAAACAGTATTTGCTGTGTGAGCAAGGAGACAGCAAGGAGCCTGGGCATGGCTTAGCTCAACTATTCTGTACTAAAGCTGCTTGCTGCTATGAAACTAAAACTGAAACTGAAATTCCTCTCCTCTGCGTGTGTTTTGTATTTGGAACAGATTTCTTTTCAGGTGGGGAGGGGGAATAGAACGCCTTAGGATCAGAGCATGTTAATAATAATATACAAAATACTAATGCTCTGATGGTCATCTCGAAAAATCCTTTCTTAGTGAGCACCTAGAAGCCAAGTGCATACATGTCAAATTTCAAGTTTGTAGACTTTACAGTTCTGGAGATTTTGTGATGATGTGTGAGTGGTATTTCGCTTTTATATATAGAGATTACTCTGTATTGCTTTAAAATATTTTGATTTTGTCATTATTTTATTCCACTGCAATATTAACAGCAGACTAGTGTGCTATTAAAGAGATAAGTATAGCAAGATTCCAAGCTTGGCTTCTCATAAACCTGTATTTGGACTCAACCTGTTAAAGTTGCTTAAGGGGACTCCCATGACTGCCAAATACAAATAATTTTCTACACAACAAAAAGAGCTATGCAATCCAAATTTTGAAACCTGACTTCTTTGCCAGATGTTAAATAGAATGCATGAATAAAGCTTGTTTTATTTGGAATAATATTCTGAAATAACATTGCTAACATATAAAAACGTACCTCTAGCAATTAAAGAACTGAACTTTGTGCAATTTTTCACAACCTGGCAATCTCTAGATATAATCCACAAATTTTATTTCACCAGATCTATATACTGTAACATTAAGTGGGCTGCCCCAACAGAAACATCTGCAACTGCCCAAGTTTTGAATTTAATTGCCAATGAAAAAGTGAAAAGTACTCACAGAACTATAATCAAAGCAATATACATTTCTGAACACAATGATCACATACCTTGTAGGCCAAATACCACTCAGTCTCTTTGGTGGATTTATTTCCTGCCTTGTTCTTGTATACCTCAGCCCTGTACTGACGAATCAAAAGAAGATTTCGCAAAAAATATTCAAAATTCATCTTGCTGAGTGCAACACTCTCAAGTTTCTGAGCTCCTAAAAAATAAGAAAAAAAATTGACGGAATATCATTGAGACACTACGATTAGAAGTTACAATTTGGTTAAAATAAGCATTATTAAATGCTATCGTTTTTGATTGGGAAGTACGGTAAAAACACAATCTCTGTTAAACATACTTAAACTACAGGATGTCAGATTGTAGCTCAGTTGGAAGCCATTTGGAGGAATGCTATTCCAAAGGGCAGAAACTAAAACAGAAAAGGTCTATTTCCTTGGTTTCACTATTAGATGGTATTGCTTAATTCATAGGACCTGGAGCAAGCCATCTTTTGGAATGCATTGGACAGTATGACATTATGAGAGACATGGAAGACAAGCAGTCTCTCAAATTAACTAGGATCTAAGCCATGTATTATTCTGTAATTTAACTATTCATTTATTCTATACATATACTCATTAGCAACAGATACCTATTTAATTAGGGATAAACCTGAATAAGTTTCTTCTCGCTAATCATAATGCTTTGATTTTCTATTCAGTCAATACAAGTTAACTGTTCTTATACTTTATTATTTTTAACATGTTTTGCAGGCTTTTCTATAATGATTTTGCAGTTTTAGTGTTATTTGAAGTCTTCCCAAAGCACTAAAAACTTTTATCTGAAGGAATGCCAAATATCTAGAAAGAACACATGCATTCTGCTTTACTGTCTTTGATAAAAGTTTGATATGCAAAAGTCAACAAAAGTTTCTTCTGATATAGAAGGTAGACTTAATCAGACATAGACCAGTACATTGATTGTAAAAAGGCTATTACATCTGGATGCTATTACAGCTAAAATTTGTAGCTGTATTTTTAGTACCAATGTACTGCTTAAAGCAGCTTTAAGACTTATGGACTTCAACTTCCAGAATTCCTCCTTCAGTCATGTTAGCTCAGGAATTCTGGGAGTTGAAGTCTACAAGTCTTAAACTTGCCAAGTTTGAAGGCCCTTGGCTTAAAGTGCTGGATTAGAAACCATGAGACCAGGTGTTCAAATCCTCCTTTAGGCACAGAAGCCAGCTGGATGACTTTGAGCCAGACACACTCTCTATAAGTCTAGGATGGCTGTTGTGGGAAAAAGAGGAAGCCATTGACTTGCCATGCTAAATTTTACAAAACAAAGGTGAGATAACCTAATAAATTTGATTTGAAATAGTTCAACAGACTGATACAGAAATTTGGTTTTATTCCTTTTCATACAGCCTTATTTTATTCTATGTTTATATTGCATCCAATGTATGGGCAACCAATATATTTTTTTATAAATAATGAAATCTGACTAGAAACTTTTAGAATTTAAAGCCCCTGTGATTGAAGGTACCAAGGACTTCTGGCCTACTCTAGTCAAAATATTACTCTGTGTAGTTACTTTATATTTCAGTTTTTAATTGATAATCTAAAAAAGAAAAAGATGGAGCAATCATGGAAAAATATAGGGAGGTTATACTATGTATGAAAAGTAAGGTTTAAACTCTAAAATATTATGGGTCATTAACATCAGTCATAAACAAGGCAGGCAAAAACTCTTCTGGAACACCCCGAAGTCAGCAAGCTTAAAATCAGTGCTGGGTCACTGGATCACTTCCAGAGTGGATCCACTCACTCTGGAACACAAGGCACCTGGTTACTCTTCCTCTCCAGCAACTGGATTTGGGCGGGGGGATTCGACTAATGACCTATAAAGTACTTTCCAACTCTGTTAATCTTTTGAGATTAATTTTCGTCAGTCTGATACCAATCCAGACCTGTGTGGAACTAAAAATTCCACCTCCGGCTTGCTGGTAAGACAGATGGGCATTGTAATTGGGAAGGTCAGCCTACACGGACTACAACGACTTTTTCAGAAGGCTTTTCTAAAAAATTATCAGAGACTGAGCGGTTCGCGGGGAGGAGCACAAAGCATGGCGTCTACTGCAGCATTCAGGTGAAATAAATAGCGAACTCCGGGAGCTCAGTTGCAACTGAGCAACCCAACCCTGTTATTATAAGCCCGCCAAGGAGAAGTCGCGAAAGCGCCTTAGTTCAACCTGATCCCAGGATCCGAATGATCACTCGTGTTTTGAAGACTTCCATCGCCGCCAGTTTTGCATCTTCGCCATGCACCGTATAGTAGTCGCCGCGCTCAAAGAACCTCACAGTAGTTTTCGGTTTGGCAGGCAACGCCAAGACGGCGCGAATAAAGCCGTTTTCGGCACCCCAGCCTTCGGGCCAGCATCCCTCCCGTGGAGCAGAAACACAAGCATCTATGGAGGCCGCCATGCTGAAATCACCCGCCACTTCGATGCTGTTAGCAAATAATAACTATTCTCCCGCCGCCAATCAGGAAGAGTGGGGCCTATTTCGGCCACCGTAATAGTCCCACCTTCATCGCAACGCGTTCTGAGCAAACTAGGCCTTTCGGGACACCGTCTGTGATATAGCTGGAAGATGCGTCGCTATGGGGATGAGGGCGGAGATGATGTATTCTCCTTTTACATAATATTTAGTTGAAAAACGTGTTCTCTTTCCCCATTTCCTGAAGAAACGTTAAGTGCATTCTTAGAATGTTCTATTAAATATGCACAGGGCTGTATTTTAAATATTCGCATTGCAATTCCTTAAGCATTTTTTTCAGTAGCCTTTCTAGCGCTGGCTGTGAATCCTAGGAATTCTGATCTGAGCACGTGGACGGAGGTGGTAAAAATCCAAGAATAGCTGAAACGTCTTTCAAGCGTTTTGGGAGATAAGTAAACGCGTATTTGCTTGAAAGACCTTTATTGCTGTTGGAAGTTACGATTCACCCCTCTCATAGGAAAAGAAATCTTAAAACATTAGAAGGGGAAGGAAAATTACCCTAAAAGAAAAGAGAGGTGAAAACACAAGCAGAGTCAGCTCCATTAGCCCTCACTTTACATGGGATACAGAAAAAGCCTTTAGAGTAGAGTAGAGTAGAGTAGAGTAGAGTAGAGTAGAGTAGAGTAGAATAGAACACTTTATTGGCCAAGTGTGATTGGAGACACAAGGAATTTGTCTTGGTGTAAATACTCTCAGTATACATAAAGAAAAGGTACATTAGTTAAGAATCAAGAATCATAACCTACAACACTTAATGATAGTCATAGGGTACAAACAACAATCAAATCATACTAGGAAACAGTCAATATAAATAGTAAGGATACAAGCAACAAAGTTACAGTCCTACAATCACAAGTGGGAGGGGATGAGTGATAAGGAGTGATGAGATTAATAGTAATAGTAGTGTACACTTTGTAAATAGTTGAAGAGTGTTGAGGGAAATATTTTGTTTAGGAGAGTGATGGCTTTCAGGGGGAAACTGTTCTTGTATCTAGTTGTTCTGATGTGCAGTGCTCTATAGCATCGTTTTGAGGGAAGGAGTTGAAACAATTTATGTCCGGGATGTGAGGGGTCTGTAAATATTTTCACAGCCCTCTTTTTGACTCATGCAGTATACAGGTCCTCAATTGAAGGCAGGTGGGTAATAATTGTTTTTTTCTGCAGTCCTAATTATCCTCTGAAGTCTGTGTCTGTCCTGTTGGGTTGCAGAACCAAACCAGGCAGTTATAGAGGTGCAGATGACAGACTCAATAATTCCTCTGTAGAACTGTATCAGCAGCTCCTTGGGCAGTTTGAGCTTTCTGAGTTGGCGCAGAAAGAACATTCTTTGTTGTGCTTTTTTTGATGATGTTTTTGATGTTAGGTGTCCATTTTAGGTCATATGATATAATAGAACCTAGAAATTTGAAGGTCTCTACTGTTAATACTGTGTTGTCTAGTATTGTAAGAGGTGGTGGTATGGGAGGGTTTCTTCTAAAGTCTACCACCATTTCTACGGTTTTGAGCGTGTTCAGTTCCAGATTGTTCTGGTTACACCATGAGGCAAGTTGTGTAACCTCCTGTCTGTATGCAGATTCATCGTCTCGAATGAGACCAATCACTGTTGTGTCATCAGCAAACTTCAGTATTTTAACAGATGGATCATTTGAGATTCAGTCATTGGTATAAAGGGAGAAGTGGAGATAGCACACAGCCTTGGGGTGGCCCTGTGCTGATTGTACAGGTATCAGATGTGATTCCACCTAGCTTCACCTGCTGCTTCCTGTCTGTTAGGAAGCTTATGATCAACTTACAAGTGTGTTCAGGTACTGCTAGTTGGTTTAATTTACTTAGAAGAGTGTCTGGAATGGTGGTATTGAATGCTGACCTGAAGTCTACAAAGAGGACCCTTGCATAGGTATTTGGAGATTCAAGATGTTGTAGGATGTAATGCAGAGCCATGTTAATAGCATCATCTGTCGATCTATTTGCTCACTATGCAAACTGCATGGGATCTAACAGTGGATCCGTGGTGGTTTTCAGGTGGGACAGCACAAGCCTTTCAAAGATTTTCATAACTACAGATGTTAGAGCAACTGGTCTGTAGTCATTCAGTTTCTTGATGGAGGGCTTCTTTGGCACTGGAATGATGGTAGAACATTTGAAGCAGGAAGGAACATAGCACATCTCTAGTGATCTATTGAAGATTCGGGTGAAGATGTGGGCCAATTGGTCAGCACAGACTTTTAAGCAAGAAGGAGTTCTCTTGTCTGGCCCTAGTGCTTTTCCTGGCTTCTGTCTGTGTAATAGATCTTGCACTTCTTTTTCTGTGATCACCAGAGGTTGTGAGCCCAATGGATTGGGGCCAGTAGTAGGAGGCTTGGCTGTTGTTGGTGTGTTTGAGATGTGGGTTGTGGAGATAGGTGGCTGTAGTTTTTTTTCAAACCTGCAGTAAAACACATTCAGGTCATCTGCTAGCTGTTGATTTCCTTCTGCCTGGGAAAGAGGTTTGCTGAAGCCGGTGATGTTTTTAAGAGTTTTCCATATGTTTGCTGGTTCATTTGTTGAGAATTGATTCTTTAACTTTTCAGAGTAGCTTCTTTTTGCTGCTCTGATCTCTCTTGTTAATATGTTTCTGGCCTGGTTGTATAGCATTCTGTCACCTTTTCTGTAGGCTTCCTCTTTGGAATGGCGTACCTGCTTAAGTTTAGCTGTGAACCAAGGTTTATTGTTACTATATATTTGCAGGTTCCTTGTTGGTACACATAAGTTTTGCAGAAGCTAACATACGATGTTACAGTATCTGAGCTCATCTAGGTCTGCAGAGGCATCTTCAAAAACATTCCAATCAGTGCAATCAAGGCAGGCCTGGAGTTTCAGCTTTGCCTCATCCGGCCAAGTCTTCACTGATTTAATGGTTGGTTTAATGGTTTTAAGTCTTTGTCTGTAGGCAGGTACAAGGTGAATCATACAGTGGTCAGAGTGTCCCACAGCTGCTCGTGGTAAAGACCTATAAGCATCTTTTACTGTTGTGTAGCAGTGGTCTAAAGTATTTTTGCCTGTGGTGGGACAGTTTACATGCTGGAAATATTTTGGAAGCTCTTTCCTTAAATTAGCTAAGATCCTTTCCCATAGAAATCAAATAGCAAGCTATAAAACTTGTGAAAAGCAGACCAAAAGGCATAACAGGAAACTCAGGATATTACAACCTAATGCAACAAGCAGCTACAAAGTGAACAAGCAGATACTATAAAACAATTACTACTACCAAGATCCCAATCTCAAGAGACAGGAACTCATCTCACACACAGACTTCAAGGGTTCACACAAAATCAAAGGACCTGAAAGGAGATTCCCTACTCACAATATTAGATTAATCTCAAGAATGCTGTAGGACTTCTACTTCCTAATAATAAACTGATTCTGACTTCCAATGCCGCTGACCAATCATTTTGCAGTAAAATCTCCCAGCCGGGAAATTTGAATCCACAAAGGAAAGAACTTTGCCTTTCCACATTACTATCAAGGCATTTCAAAGTAAGACCTGGCATATATTTGGGAGAAAGTCCAATGTAATTCAGTTGCTTAAGTACATATATAACCCCCAAGCCATGGTTTGTTTTGACGATTTTAAAAAACAAGCCACCTTGTGTTGCTTCATCCTTTGCATTAAGTAATCATGTAATTTATTGGTTTTGGGTTAATAAAACGAGTGAACCAAGGTACTGTTTATAAACCATGGCTGGTGGCTTATTGGACATACAACAGGCAATTGCATATGCCATAAATTATTATTAAGCAAATACAGTACTGTAATGTTTTAGTATATTCTGTGAAATCACTCAGTAGTTATTAATACATTATGCTGAGACAAGGGAGCTTACTTCTCTGACTTTACTGTTACAAGATGGGATTTTTTGATACAGTACTGTGCCGGTGCTTGGCAAAGATTTGGAGTGAGGGTTTGGCAAACTCTTACAATGAGCTCATTGTAGGAGCTCTTGTCATTACTATTATTCAATCCATATCAAGTGGATTACTGCAACACTTGCTTCAACCAGCTGCTCTTGAAGGCTATCTAGATACTGCAGGTGTTCCAAAATGCAGTGGCACAGACCGGGTACACCTAAGTACACTAATATATGGTATAGGTAGGATCTGTGATCTGCATTAGCTCCCAAAATACCAAGTTGTTGGTTGTCATCTATAAAATTCTCAGTAGCATGATGCTGGGTTATTTGTAGAACCACCTCCCCAGTTTTTACCCATGCCACTAAGTCCTGCAAGAAACTCCAGATTCCCCCATTGAAGAATGTTATCTAATGGGGTTTAGAAAGCATGCTTTTTCTGCCACAGCACTTGGCCTCTGGACTCACATCCTCCAGGACTAAATTAATCCTGACCCTTCTGTTCTGACCCTTTGTAAAGTATTGAAGACTCGGATGTGTTTTATGGTTTGGGATCTAGAAATGTAGATGACCAGCTTTCATTGTTTTTTTCCAGGTTTATTCTTGGTGACCACTGTGTGATTTGTCTCTGTTAGTATTGTTTTATGGGTGTTCAAAGCTGTATTTCCAAGACAGGCAGCTATATAAATTGATTTAATAATTGTCAACAATTTATTAAAATTTATTGGATATTATAGCCAACTTGATTTGAACTCCATATTAGAGTACATGAGGATGTAAATTTGGCAATAGTTTGTCCTATTACTTATGAATCTTTTAGATATTGACAGGATGTATGAGAGATGCATCTGCTATTGGCTCACTAAAACTGCTAAAAGATGGAACTGTCCTGGGAGTTAAGAAAGGTGATCATGATGTGTTCCATTCTATCTGTGTGTGTATATGCATGTGACTTTGAATCAGCTTTTGACTCCTGACATCAGCATGGAATAGTCTCTGCAATTTTCTTGGCAAAATTCTTCAGCAGAGGTTTAACATTCCTTCTTTCCTAGGGTTGAGAAAGAGTGTCTGCCCCAAGGCCA